ATACACCGCACATTTACTCCGTGAGATGTTAAAGTTTAAACCACACTTCTATTTGTATCATTGCTCACTTTAACAGTGATATAGTTTGACACTGAAGGACACTGGGGAGATGGTCCCGTATTGTAAGTGATTTATACCGTGGTCTATGAGGTATTGTTTTTGGTGTCAGCAGTCTGCATCAGTATCATTTTACTGAACGCTCACACATCAGTAAAACGGCTCCGGCCTCAACTGAACAAGTGTTCGCTCCTTCACAAACCTCAGCATCAGCAGAAATCAGATTTAAGAATAACATACATTTTTGTATTTATGTATTTCATTTATGTTTGGTTTTGTTGCAACAAAACTTGCATCCATTGATTCAAAACTTGCATCAGCATAGAAACTGTTTTGTTTATTTCTTTTGGTAATAATCAACAACAACGCTAATTGCACATCATCTGCCACGCTAAGACACGCTAAGGGATCTGTCATTAGTGTGTGTACATTCACAATTAACAGCTGGTGAATGTATATCTATGGTAGTACAACAAGTTTATGTTATATTTTAAATAGTTATGTAGCATGAAAATCTATTTTTTGTTGCAGAGGAGAGTTAGTCAGTAATGTTCATATCCTAAAGATCCCTGGTCTTTATGACATCACTTAAAGGTTTTTGGATAAGAACTGTCAGAAGTTCAGATTTTAATCACTTTTCATACATTCAAGTGTAACACAAAGTGCTTTAGAATGATAGGAATGAAGGAACAAGGAGGCACTTAACACTTCAAAATTACCTCAGTAGATGTCAAACTAGGTAAAGCACTTAATATTATAAATCTAGGTTGTATTTTCACTACCTAGGTTTTCGACTGGATGTTTACCACTGGTTTTAAAGATGTGCAGAGCTTTATGTTCTGGATTCTTTTGTGACTTTTTGGATAATGTGCCAGTGGAAACTTGGAATAATGTTGGTATGATTCATGTTTTTAAACCACTGATTTATGTTTTTTTAAAATTTGCAGATAATTATTTTTGTTGTGGTTTGTGGGAGTCTCAAAGCCGTACACATGCCTTTGTAATCCTTTTTTGACAGAGATGTTAATGTCTTCATGGTCTTTATTTAGATAAAAGCGTGAGTAGCAAAATTAAACCCAGCTTTACAAAAAGCGCACTTAGTCACAGTTTAACAAGATTGTAATTACTAATAATTCACCACTTTAAATATAAATATTCATGGCTTAAAAGAAAAATTAAATACTATATGTGTCACACTGATATTTGTATTTAAAACATGCATTCCTCGGGATTTTAACTTTGTTTTAAACCCTGAGGATCCTTCCACACATTTGTTATTAATTGGTCTTTCTATTTTATGGGCTGAGATTTTTAAAAAGTTTTAAAAAAAGAACATACAAATAAAAATCCTTGTTCCACCACATTGGCATTATACTCAAGGTTATTTCACAATCAAGATTCACAGCAACGTGAAATTCCTTGTGCCCTTTCACTGGTCCTCTCCTGGCTCTCATTTCTCCCACATGCCTAATAAAGGCATTTCTGGCCAAAACATTGGTCACAACTCCCCTTCCTCTGCTCTATAGATGCTGGTCGGTTAATGAAGTAACAACAAATTGGGCCGCAGACTAATTTGGAGTGGCGTTTCTTGGCCCCTCTTGGCCCGTAGAGATGTGTTTCATTTTCTCTTATCAGCGATTCAGTCATGTGGATTTACGCATGGACGCCTCTGTCTCCCCTGATCGTTGGGCTAATGGAAACTTCGTTAATGTCATTAATCTGTGGGCTGAGACTTGCAGTAAACACATATTTTGCTGTTTGTGCTCCATTTGTTAGATAACACTGAGCGCTTCCTTTATGTGAGTCTTTATAGAGAATTATAAAAAATGGGACGGCATGGTGATCTTAGGACCTGTAGAGGTTGAAATTGTGTTCCAGACTGAGTCGGTTAACAAGCATAACTTCTAATATACAGCACAGAAATCTAAATCTATGCAGATGATCTACCATCTTAGGTATAAATGCGAGAAATAAAGTTCAAGCACCTAACTGCTTAGGAGGGAAATCTTGCATCCTCTTAATTCTGATTTTTGTGTAGAACCAAAGTGAAACATGAGACAACCGTGCATCTTACAGCATCCACCAAGCATAACAAGATGTGATCTGTCATTAAGCCAGAACACTGAACTCTGATCTCTGTTGCCTGGATGACACAGGTTCAACACGGTTACTCACAGTTTAGCAGCCCAGATCAGTAAGAGGGCAAAATGCTCCTGCCAAGCTGAATCCTCATCATATTTATTGTAAATACATATTCTCTATTACAATGTTGGTTGTTTATATAAGGTAGGTGCTCAGAGTCAGGCTCAGACAGGTGTGGGAGGATGAAGGTCACTCGCTTCATGGGTCTACGTTTAACACGTGAAGCCCTGTAAATGTTCTGATACATGGAGGAGATATGGATGCTTTGCATGACAAACTATGCTCTTAGTGTTTGTGAGTACAAGTTGGCTATCAACCAGAGAAGTCATCAAATGTTTTAAAATCTTTACAACATAATGTTTTGGCACTGTTATCAAATTATTACAATCCTGATCAATTTGTAGGCTTCATAAAGTAATGTGCATTCCCATTTTTTGTGCAACCTCTTGTTTATTCTATAATTTTTAATGGATTCATATTTAATTATTAGCAAGTCCCATTAGATATGACAAAACAAAAGCAGATATTCATAATGTTTATTACTGTCCCTTGTTTTGTTTTTCAAAAAACAGCAATTCATTTGTTCTCTTTGAAGCTTTGTGCACGTACCAACATGTTGAGACGAACACAATTCAGCCATGGGGGGCAGGAAAACGGGTCTCATTTTAAGAGGTTCTCATGTCATGAGTGCTCATTACTCTCAAGAAAATATGCTTCCATCTATTATATAAAGCAAGAAAAGTTTGACATTAAATTAATAAACATTTCAACAATGATACCAATTATGTTTCCTTAGATCAGGTTTTGGTGGACAAATAAAGAAGTGCCCTCACAAGTTGAAACGAGTTTTGTCTTTCTGGCTCTGTATTAATTTAGGACCAATGTCACAAATGTCACAAAAGTTGTAAATGTCACAATGATTAACAACTTTTGTTTTTATATTCTCTCTGAGTATTTGTGTCATTGTGTTTATTGATCTAATCTTTATTTTCCATGGACAGTATTGCCATTTCTCTTTATCATTGTTAATTTTTTTATTCATCTATTAATTTTATTGTTTATTTATTCATTTATTATCATTATTATGTTGATCCAATCACATGCTTCCTGTACACCATGCTCTGGAGCTGATAATTACAAAATGTAGCTGAAACTTTCAGATATTTTGCACAGTCAGTCACTCCACTCTGACTTTAAGTATAGCCAATTAAGAACATTTGGTAAACCCTTACATCAGTGACAACCATAAAAACCTTTAAGAGGTTCATTATCTTCCACAAGAAATATATCTCCACCTCCAAACTCTTGTCTAAATTGAGCCTCACAGATTTTTAAACATCCATTTTTAATCATGCAGATTTATTTTTTTTAAATCCAACATTATTTTTTGCTTGGTTGATCGACACTTTGATGCCTGCGCTCACAAAGGCACTGTAATGTTGCCATTAGTTATGCTTCTCTGGTGGCCAAAAGATGGATCCTTAAGTCCCGGGATCCAATAAGTTTGTATGTGAATGGTTGGAGGAGATAAACTACATCACATAAATGAAATAACTGATGGAAGACGAAGGGAGGAAAGCCCCTTAATTAAAAATATGAAAATGAACAAAATCTCTGACTCAAATTTTAGGCTCATCTGAACAGCTACAGTAATTCTCTCTTTGCCTTATATAAAGTTGATTTCAAAAACAGTGGAGACAGTGGGCTGAGAAAAAAAAATCAATTTATTCAATTTCTGTTTCTAAGCAAGACTTTACAGAAGCTGCCTGAGTCCTCTGTGAACTCTCTCTCTCTCTGTATATCTATTTCTCTTTCTGTATATCTATTTCTCTATATATGTTGTTCTTTTATTCCATCAATGACTGACAATATGTCTCAGAAATTCCAAGCAAAAAGTTCATATTTATTAGGAGAAAATAAAAAATGGGCAAAATAAAAAAAAAAAGATGCAGTGCTTTCAGACCTCAAATAATGCAAAGAAAAGAAGTTAATATTCATTTAGAAACAACAATACTAATGGAATAACCATAAGGTTTTCAATGGGGCTCAGCGCTGTGGTCTCTTAATTTTTTCCAGAGTTGTATATATAAATAAAGAGTTCTCATCTTATAGTCCATCCTTGTTTGTGTAAAAGAAGAAAGGAAAAGGCACAAGGATGTTGGTTTTATTCTCAGGGGTTCTGAGTTTACTAATGAGTTTAGGCCAGGTGTAAACAGAAAGGTTGATTGCATCTGAAAATCACCCTAACTGCCCCATAAACCCTTCCAAAAAATACCATCTAACATACAATGCACTCATGCAATCATTGCACCTGTTGGCAGAACATTCAGTCTTTTCTATTTCATTCAAACAAAATTAATAAAATAGAAACTTTTCATTAAAAATGTTTGTTTCTATTACACCGAATGTAACTTTATTCATCTCTCCATCAGATTTGACCAGCTTCCCAGTCCCTGCTGAAGAGAAAACATCTCCACAGCATGACACTGCCATTCTCATGTTTCACCTTTGCATTGGTGTGTTCAGTAGTTAGTTTTCTACTCCACAAAATGCTTTGCAAGTCAGCCAAAAACTGCTAACAGGGCTTTTTTCCCTCAAAGTTTTATTGCCAAAAAAATATCAGACTCCCATGTATCATTTTGATTTCAATCATAATTATGCACCATACTTTGTTGGCCATTGATTGACTTGTCATTGTAGTTACAAGAGGTGTAAAAAAAAAAAAGGTTGTATTGTTTTTCAAGAGAATATACCTGAAACTGATTCCTCATCCTGTTGAGGCCAAATAAAAATGACTCAAACATACTGATTTACCAAAGAATCAAAACATTGCTAATCTTATTGGTATTTTCTAATATAAACAAATATTGAAAGTCTTCTTTTATTCTTATGTGACTCAGCAACCGCAAGAAGCATGAACATACCCCCCAGATCTCTGGACAACATCTTTACTGTCAGTAAGAACTTTATATGCAGTCAGAGAATAAACTTAGATTTATTCATTGCTTTAATGAGAATCATATATTACACAGTGCCTGGGGCTAAAACTGCTTCACGAACTGAATGGACCAACTTCATTGCTGAGCCTTTGTATAAAATGATCAGCTGCTATTGATCAATAATTTAGACAAGTGCCAGATTATTGACAGGAAGACAAAATATGTTTGGCTGGCTGTGTTTGAGAAATCCCCCCCATACACTCAATCACTGGAACAGAAATTGCTCCATGGAATATCATATTGCGGCAATGTTTCTTTTCCCTCCTGCAGATCAATGCTAATTGAGGTCCTAGATGATGAATGTAGCTTGAAATGTTTTTTTTAACCCACCGAGCGCTGCTCAGAAACAAGAACTAGGGCCTTTTGGGTCGCTACAGAGTGACTTTTAGAGGCATAGAGGTTGCATAAAAGAGAATCAAACTTTTTTTTCCCTATATATTGATTGAAAAATATGAAATAAGTATGACTAAGTTGATTTGGATATTCTTAAATGAGCATATTAAAAGCAAACAGCAACTGTACAGGCTAAAATTTTATGTTTTCTAACTAAGAGCACCATGCAGCCTCCTCTGAGGGACAGTAGTAAATTATGAAGATCAACACAGCCAACAGAAGGATGCTGCTCGATCCCTGAAGCCCTTCAAACACAACCAACGCGGACAGCACGCAGCAGATGGGGTAAACCATGCCATCATGTGGAAAATAGACCTGTTGTGTTGTCGCAGAGACTAGACTCGGCATAGTCTGCCAAGTGGACCACCAGAGGAAACTGCAAGAAGCTGTGACAACAGGGGGAAAGCTTTAATTCTTGTTGTGCATTCGCTCCGTCAGACAATAACAAGGCCTTTAAAGCTGATGTTAGTTGTCACAGCCTGCTAAACAAGTCAGTTACAAGATTTTTGCTTCCAAATCCCTGAAAAGTGCAACATTTTATGAACTATTGGTGATGTATCGGTGCTATAAAACTGTAATATTTCTGTCATCAATTGGCGTTTAAACCAGTGGAGGCTCTCAAACAGAACTAAAGACAAATATCCTGACTCGTTGCTGCCATCTTGTGTCTCTTTAGGTTTTAAAAAGAACTCTTAAATTTGAGGAAATAATGTATTGTAGCTTTTGCATTTTTTTCAGGTCAATCACTGTTCCAGTGATTGAGCCTTTTCAGATGCCTGACATCTTTAGCCTCAGATTTAATTCAATTCAACTGAGATTTGTAAAGCAAAATTTACAAAGGAATGCCATTTGCATTCAATGTACTATGAAATAAACAGAGGCAGTTTATATTCAGAAACTTACAAACAAATCAAGAGAGGGCAGTGAAATTATGTGGAGTTGCAGTACAATGCAGTCAGTTCATATTTTAATTTAATGAAACTGCTACATTTTTTTGCAACATTTTTTAATAAATTGTGTCCAAAATCAAATGTGGCACCTCTAACAGTACTCACAAGTCAGTAAATCAACAAATACACTCAACCTGTATTGGATTTGATCTCAGTAAACAGTTGATCTGTGAATGCCTCAAAGATTTGTTAGATAACATTAGTGAACTAACAATTGGGGTTTGGATGTAACAAACGATTGTTCAAACCATTATTTGAAAATGATGTACCAAAACATCGCTGTTCACTTACAGTGGGGGTAATGAGAATTTGATACATCACAGAATTTTCACTATTTTCATCTGGAATGAAGAAGTAGGTAATTTTCATCATAGATTCAGACTTCAACATTGAGAGATTAGATGATTAAAGAAAAAAAATTATCACCCCAAAAAAGACACTACAAATTTTAAACAATTCATTGGCATTTTATTATAAGAAATACATTTTTGATCACCTACCAGCCAGGATCCTATTTGAACTCCTCACCTGTACAACATACACCTATCCACCAGTGACAGCAAGATAAAGCTTTGAAGCACTGAAACTTCCTTTCCAATTGGAAAGGAAGCCAAAGCTTCATGATGCTTCATTTACTCCACTATGCCATCAAGTGGACAATAAATGTAAAGAAGGGCTACTATAGTGATTTTACTTCAGTGTTTGAAGCTTTAAATTGAACTGACAAATATGCGTGATGTCAACACATCAATTCAGAATATGGTGTGAATATGATCTTAATTTGTCTTTAACGACACAATGTCTGGATCAAAAGGGAAAGTGGAAACAAATAAATGAGAATCCCTTAAAAAATTAAGTCATTCCCTCAGTTTTTAGACTACTCATTGAAAAAAAAATACAGCATACATAAGAAAGTTTTGCTTTACAAATTACAGCAGATTAATACACAATTTTTTGGGGTGGTATTTTCCAATTTAACTGCTTACATGATTCATGGGCCGTGTCACAAGAACAATAACTGCTTAACAAGTTCTTATAAAATCTACTCAGACTTAATGGGGAAAAGTGAAGTAAAGTTAAGTAAATTCTTGTGTTTTAAACAAGTGCTGAGACTGCATATTTACAACAATATAATTTAAAGGGTCATTTCAATCACATCACAAAAACAACATATACTCAGTTATTTCCAAGTGCTTCTGGTCTGGCAAAGTGAAAACTTTTATGTTTCAAGAAAACATGTCAATGGGAATACAAACACAGTATTCACCACAGTAGAGATATTAAATCTTAAATAAATGAAAACAAATATCTTGTGTTGCAGTGACAGCTTTGGAAATGCATTTGTGTGCCCTGGGTGAACTGACCCTTCCTGCAACTAAACTTAAGCGAAACAAAATGTTTAATTAAACTCAAACATTGTAAATGTTTCTAAATGAAACATAAGACTATTTGTAGCTTTGCATTTTGTTTGGAACAAACGACAAAATAATACATTATGCTTTTGGTTAGGAATGCAATCTTTCAATTAAGTGAATAAAAAGTGCAGTAATATATTTTGGACAAGAGGCAGCAAGGCTAAAAACAAACATGGCTTTTTTCTTTGTTAAATTCAAACTTATTTTCTGTTCAATTCTAACGTTGCAGTGTCGACCACATTCCAGTGAGGTTCTCTTTTTGTTTTTTATTCCATATCCATACTTATCTGAAAAGTCAAATCAGTTCTCCATCACATGAAGTAGGTTTAAGTGACAGCCGTCAGTCGCCTGCAACAAAAGCAAGATGAGTCTGTAAACCACTATGTCACTGTAACAGGCAGAAAAAAGCTCAACTGCTGATCTTACCTCACTTTGGGAACTCATTCTTAAGTTTCTCCCTGTGGCTAGATCTGCAGATTGATAAAAGGAGCGAAACCCAGCATGTCCTGAAGAAGCACCAGAGCCCGCGGTAAAGGCGGCTCAACATCAATCACAACGTTGCGCTTCCGGAGAGGACCAAGGCTCGACTCGGTCACGTTGTGACAGTGATTCACCCTCAGGGACTGCAGCTTTGGGCAATACTCTGCAAGAGTTCTTTGGGACGTAGGAGTAACAGGGGAACTTATGAATGAATGATCAAATCAGATGCTTTATCTTTAAGAAAAAGAAAAAGCTATATGTATAGCTGTATATAAAATTATTGCAGTAAACAATAATACTATTGTTTTGAGACCATTTTCAAGTGATATATTAACAATAGCATAATCATGTAAGTTCATCCTATTAAAAACTAACTTTCATTTTGTAAAGAACATCTACACTGGAACTGGAAGCTATCTTAAATATTCAAAATAAAATACAAGAACCAAAACAATAAATAAAATGCTAATAAAAACCACACAAAACTGAAATCAAAAATCAAATGAATTATGTCTCTGTCAACAATAACATAAAACTTGAAAAATCTCAAAGAGTATGAAAACTTTTGAAAGGCACTACAACTAGGCATGTTCTACTGTTCAAATTCCTGCCCTGTCAAAGGGCAAATTTGGAATGAAATGCCAACCACGGCTGCCTATAAGAAGGTTAAATGTGTTGTCTTTTCTCTATTGATCCGTTTATGTATGTCTAGATAAAAGGCAGACACTTTTATCCAAAGTGACTTACAAATGAGGATTTAACAATGCGGCTTACATCAAAGCTAACAAACAATAAGCTATTTGTGTCATTGTTTCCTCTTTTAGAATCAATACATCACAAACCTGATGGACTGGTTCTGGACTCGCAGACAACCTGTCAGATCCAGCTGTTCCAGACCCCTGCAGTTCTTGGCCACCTCTTCCACTGACTCGTCTGTAATGTTGGCATTGACCGCCAAAGACAGCGACTTCAGCTCAGAACACTTTTTGGCCAGGTAGCAGATGGCGTCATCCTTCAGCTGGCGGCAGGCGGTGAGATCGATCGACCGAAGCCCTCCACAGTGGTCAGCCAGGCTGCGCAGAGACAGGCAGTCCACCCAATCGCAGTGAGCCAGGCCGAGATGCTGGAGGTGTGTGCAGCTCAAGGACACGGCCACTAAGGAGTGGCGAGTAAGGGAGGCACAGCCACTCATGTCTACCTTGTGCAGATGCTGGTTCTGGCCAATAACAGGAAGCAACTCCTTGTCTGTGACCCAGTCTGAACAGTTTTGAAGGGACAGGTTCTGGAGAACTTTATTGTCTTTTAACATTGTGCAAAATGCTTCCTTGGGGATGCAAGGTCCAATCTGTAAATATTAAAACAGAACATGGAGCTGAAATATTTTGCTAACCATTACAATACAATGATTTGGTTTCATCTGAAGACATCTGGTTGCATTGGATTTTATTTAGGTCATTGGTCTGCTCGTGGCTGTTTGAATCTTCCACAATCATTTTTAATGACTTTGGCTAAAAATTAATAACCAACTGATGTTTTTAAATGCTGTTTTTAGCAGTACATTATTACTTACATCATTTTCCACAAATATCAGCACTCCAAAATTGTATCTATTCTGTTTTTGCTATTATGTTTTTTGTTTATTCTAATTGCTGAAAACTTAAATAAAATGCTGTTTCTTTAAAAATGACCATGCTTTTCTTATAGGAGACATTTATTAGGAATTGTGCTGTTTATTTTCAACAAATAATGGAGCAATTTAGCCTCTAGACAAACTATATGACCTGGACTGAGGGAAACAATGGTTCTTTGGATTCCAAATTCAATTCAGTTTATTTGTATAGCAATGTCATCTCAAGGCACTTTACAAGAAAAAGTCATTTCAACTCAAAGAACACATCTCCACCTTTCAGAATTCTACTTGATACAACTTTGAAAAGCATGCATCCCCTTCCCTCATATTTATAAACTACTCCAATGCACTGCTCTTTATGTACTTTATCACTACTTACGGTGGAAAGATTAAAAGTCCTGCAGTTGGCCAGGTACACCTGGACGAGGCTGTGGAACTGCTTGCTCACCCTCTGCAGGCTGACAATGTACTGCAAAGGCAAGTAGGACAAAATGTATGGAACGAGAACATCCTCCCAAGGCAGGTCCAAGAGATGACATCTGCAGGAAAACAAACCCTGTTACAGCTGAACTTTGACTCTGCAAACGCTTAAATAAAAACAAACAAACGAATACGAGTGAACACACAATGGGGAAATTTAATGCAGTAGCATGAAACTGTTGTATAGAGTTAAACTTAATTGCCAGCTATAAATAAATGGCACGAGCTGCGTTTCAGTGACTGTTAGTTAATATTCGTACGCTTCCGCTGTTAGCCGAAGAGCTAGTCTGCCGGGGCCACCAACTCAGCTGTTTTTTTAGAGATATGAATTTGTTTTAAAAGCCACTTACGTCTGCCATCTGCCTTCTTCGTCCATTGTTAACCTGCTGTGTAATACGCTGTTTTTCGGGACGAGCGGTTCTTTACATTGTCACCTAAAGAACGTATTTTGCCTTAGCATCTTGGAAAGCGTTTGACCTAAACCAGAAGCTACATTCACTGACTGTCGGAACAATTAACGTCAACAAAGGAAAAATGCGCAAATCGTCTCACAGAAGATTACTGAACTTTGTAAAATTGTCATATTGTATACTGCCACTAAAAAACACAACTTAAATGTGTACCTGATTAGACTGAGTTGCAATTTAGTTAGTAAATCATGTAGCCAGAGAAGCAAATTCACCTAAATTCTACTCGTCTACAAAAATAACATGCTAATCCTTTCTAATGGAGTAATTTTTAAATTAAATTTAAAACACGACAAAGAAATCCAGAATTTTTTTGTCGTATTTTAAAACAGTAACCCGGGAAATACATCTCTGGTCATCATATTTACGATGAACACTTGAATGCGTCATGACTGTTATTTTTGTGTTTTGTGACAGCTGCATTTTTTTTTTCAAAATGCCATATGTTATGCTCATTTCCCAAATCAGGATGTAAAATATTATGTATTCTCTTTAAAATGCCCCCAAACATATTTTATTCTTCACATCAAAAACACAGACAGAAAAACAGCAAGAATTTTTTAAATGAAAACAGTAAAAAGGAGGCAGTGCATCCAGGCGATCCGAAGAGATGAAGGTCCGGTGTTATGCCGAGCTCCCGCGACAGGGATGCAATTCTCGGCAGCCATGCATTTCTCGGCATAACACCGGCAATGAGAAAGTCTGCTTTCGAGAGGGCTAAGAAACGGCAGTTTGTCCTCTCTCAGAACCATATACACGGCACATCCACCCGCAGGTAAAAGATAGTATATTGTATATATTTTCCATGTAAGAGAATTTCAGTAAAATATAACAGTTGCTATATTATTATTATTATTATTATTATTATTATTATTATTATTATTATTATTATTATTATTATTATTATTATTATTATTATCACATAATAATAAAATTATGAGATTATGTGGTTATGTATTTTGTGGAGAGATTAAGTCAATGGCTGTATACATACATGCTCCGACTCACAACATGAATTGATCTTCACAGAAGTACTGTTTCAAATATATAATTAAAACTTATTGCTAACCGTATGTTTTGCTATTTTATTTTGTGATTTTACAGGTGCACTTGATGAAGCTCTGGATTATATTAAGGAGTTGGAGAAACTTGGAGAGGAAGCATGTGCTGCATGCTGCATGCCTCTGATTGATGAGTTCCTGATGTTCTCATTCAGGGTAGCAGTGGGCATGAAGGAGCAGCTCATTGCTGACATGTTTCAAGTCAGCATAGCTACTGTCAGCTGAGTGACCATCACCTGGGCCAACTACCTCTTCATTGTGTTCTCTTCCATCAACCTGTGGATTAGTCGTGAGAAGGTAAAAGCCAGTATGCCTCAGACATTTCTGAAGTTCTCTCCAAATGTCCGTGTCATCTTCGACTGCACAGAAGTTGCTCTGGAAACGCCATCATCCCTCACCTTACAGTCTGAAACGTTCTCTGCCTACAAGAACCACACCACTCTGAAAGGGCTGATTGGAGTTACTCCCTGTGGGTTGGTGACATTTATTTCAGCGTTGTACACAGGCTGCATCTCCAACAAAGAAATAACGAAGGTCAGTGGAATCCTTCCTCTGCTTGAGCTGGGAGATGAAGTCATGGCAGATAAAGGCTTCCTCATTCAAGACCTCCTTCATGAAGTTGGAGCCAAACTCATCATTCCACCATTTAGGCATCCTGGTCAGTACAGCAAGGAAGAGACAGAGGAGACCCAGACCATTGCTCGGCTGCGGATTATTGTAGAGCGAGCAATCGCTAGAGTAAAGTGCTACCACATCTGGGATTCCCCGGTGCCTCTTACTTTAAAAGGGCTATTATCTTTCATTAAAAAAAAAAAAAAAACACACAGACATTGCGATGAATGAGCCAAGATGATTAAACACGTTCCACTGACTGGACCCAATCAGTCCTAACACACCATACACTACAGGATGATCGGTTACAATTGTCGGAGAAGCGACAATCTTAGAACTCAGAACGTTCTAAGATTGTTGTAAGGGCAAAATCGGGCCCGACAATCGTGTAGTGTGAACTGGGCATTAGAGATGAGGGGATTGTACGCAGACAGCTGTATTTTTTTCAAAATGCCATCTGATGTTATGCTCATTTCCCAAATCAGGATGTTAAATATTATGTATTCCCTTTAAAATGCCCCCAAACATATTTTATTCTGCACATCAAAAAGTTGTTTTCAGAGAAACTTATATGTTCTTTTAGTGCTTTGAACATCAAAAATACAGACAAAAAAATAGCTAGAATTTTTTAAATGAAAACAGTAAAAAGAAAAATACATTTGAGTTCTTTAAACAATATCTTCAAAAATAAGTATTTATTTACATTTTTTTAGGAATTATAGTACTGACTATGTGACTACAATAAAATTATGCCTTTTTCAATGTAACCACACTTGCTGATCATAACTAAATATTTTTGAATCTCATATAACTCAAAATCACAATTCAAATAATATGTCAAAATACATCAAACTGCTCCCTTAATCCCTCAGTTCCAAAGAGCAGTTTTAAATTCAACAGTTAGCTACTCAGCCAGCTCACCTCTGACCAGAGGAACAATGAAGTCAATCACGCAGAACAACTGCTGACCCACAAGTTATGTTTCAGTGAATGAGAGTAACCAGCAGAGTACCTGAGTGAATGCTCACTCCTCAGTAAACATAGTCCGTATACAAGCCATAGAACAAGAATGGCGCACAAGTCGATATATGATTTTTCGGCTGAGACATTGGAAGGAGAGGAAGTCCCACTCAGCATTTACAAAGGAAAGGTGCTGCTCATTGTCAACGTCGCCACCTTCTGAGGGTCAACGATTGAGGAGGTGATTATTCAAGAACATTGACTGCATAATGTTCTACATATTGTACCCATGTAGCCTTTCTGAAACCATTATTTTTCATGTTCTCTCAGTACCACCGAATGAATGCACTAATGGAAATGTTTGGCAACCTGAATTTCACTGTGTTAGGTTTCCCTTGCAACCAGTTTGGTCTTCAGTCACCTGGTGAGTTTCGCCTCTTATGTAATTAAGCTAATATTGCTTTCTTTATATCTTATTATGTTTAATAAGGGCTTATAGGGAAAGTCCTTTGCTTGCATTGTGTGTACACTGAACACTTGTTTTACTGATAGGTCCCTCATAAAAAGCCCTCGTTCAAAAGTAGATGTTGAAAGTATATAAAAGGTGATTTGTTGTCATATTTTGTCTTTTGAAGTGATATATTAAAATTGTTATTTTTGATGATTAAACAGTATGCAATTTTGATAACTAATAAATAAAGAGAATTAAATGCATAGGTGTAAATTTATCATAGTTATTCTCTAATTTACACAAGTTTGAAATTAAATCAGATATTTAATTAAAGGCAGAGTCTTAAGAGGGAGTGAAGAACCTCTTTTTACATATCTAAAGGTATTCTGCATTCTACAAAGATTTTAGTTGGATACACTCAACCAATTTAAATTAACTACTAATTCAAAGGTTCATTAAACATCTAGCCAGGACCTATTTCTGCTAACACAGAAATAAATAAAATGCATAAATAATTGTACATGCATGTGTTTTTAGAGGTGAATGAAGAAATGCTCAATGCACTGAAGTATGTGAGACCTGGAGGTGGGTTTGTACCAAAGTTTCCTGTCTTTGCCAAGATCGAGGTGAATGGATTGAATGAACAACCTCTTTTTACATATCTAAAGGTATTCTGCATTCTACAAAGATTTTAGTTGTATACACTCAAATGACTCAGAATTGTTCCTGTTAGCACAACTGTCTCTTCTTGTTCTCCACAGGACTCTCTTCCATTTGTTAATCCTCTTATTGGAGATATAAAGAAGTTCTACTGGTCCCCAATATGTGTCAATGACATCAGATGGAATTTTGAGAAGTTTCTCATTAATTCAGATGGCACCCCTTTCAAAAGGTAAGGATCACATTCAAAACCTTCAGGTGATTTAAGGCTGTTTTTTCTGTTACATGCTATCTTCCTTGTTGTGCAGGTATGAACTTCACTGCCCCTTTGAAATGGTGGAGAAAGACATAGCAGACCTTCTCTGATGGACATTAGAGAACCACTCCCTGATGGCAGAGTGATGATCACTCAGTAAATGCATATGTGCACCTGAGCTGAATCTGACTGGAAGACGAACATGTGTAGGAGATTCTGTGCATTCTCTCTGAGAACAAGTTCCCTTTCAGCCACTCAAGGAGTTTCCATATCACTGTCATTCTTCTTGGAAATGGACTTGGAAGTGCTATTCAGAATCTAAATTAAAATAAAATATGAGATTTAGAGCCTTGATTTTGTTATTGTCATTATTGATGAATCCTTAAAACATAGCTAAGGTTAACTAGGGTTACATTTTCCCTAGCTTTTTTTAAGCTAGGGTAAAATTTTCAAAAGTATAAATGGTATGTAAGGCTTAAAAATATGGGAGCGAAGCACAGCAGTAGTTATGCCCTGCAAATAAGAGTTGACTAAGGAAGTTGCTAAGGAGAAAGGTTCTGGCCTCTCACCCATTATATATGGTATGTGACTTTCTGATATTTTGTCACATTACACAACCTCAAATTTGAGTGTTTTTTTTATAATTAAGTTTACATGTACACTGCAACACAAACTTGTGCCTACTTTTTTCAAATATGCAAATGATACCTAGCTTCATAATTATTACTGAACAGAATAGATTTTACAATGTCAAATAAAAAAACAAAGCTTATCATCACAGAAATTTCAATTGAAAGAAAAATCAAAAAGGGGTTTGAAACTACACTTTAAATAACATTTTTAAAGTGTAGGTTGTATTTAGTCCCATGAGTCTGTTTTTCATACCAACTGCCCTTAAAACCACCATTGTATGCCACTTTGCGTAATAAACTGCCAACACAATGCAAAATAAGAATTAGTTCTGGACAATAGATAACAGAAAATGTTCTACTTGAAAAAAGACGTGTTTTAATTTCATCATCATTATTATTATTGTTATTATTATTATTATTATTATTATTATTATTATTATTATTATTATTATTAATTAATAATAATAATCCCTGAGCTTCCTTGTTGTGCAGGTATGAACTTCACTGCCCCTTTGAAATGGTGGAGAAAGACATAGCAGACCTTCTCTGATGGACATTAGAGAACCACTCCCTGATGGCAGAGTGATGATCACTCTGAAATCAGGGAGAATAATAATAATATATTATTATTATAATTATTATTAATAATAATAATAATTATTATTATTATTATTATTAATAATAATAATAATAATAATAATAATAATAATAATAATAATAATAATAATAATAATAATCACTGTTTTCAAAGAAATTGGAGAAGAATGTCAATGTACCTTATCGGAGCCCATAGTTCTGTTTTCGCGCATGCGTGCTTCTCATTCTGTCAGACAAACAGCAGCCAGTAAACATGGCTGGTGTTGGTTTCCAACGTTTAGCCAAGGCTCTCGCTAAGCGTAAAGGTTCTGGCCTCTCAGCCCTTGTATCGGGATGTAGAGCAGGTAGGTCGTGCTTCAATCCTGTTGGTATGAAAGCTTTCTTTAAACATATTTATTATGGTTTTTATTTCGAAGCTTCTGATGGACGTAACCTTGACTAGCGAACATTAGCTCGAGCTAGCAGAGAGTCGGTGGCTGTTCTGAACGACTGTAGCGAGTCTTTTAAGTTGGGTTGTGTACACGTTTATTATTCTGTTCAGAAATGCATTTTTATTGCTGTTTCAGCGTCTGGTGCGACAAAGGACAGCCTGCCTGGTCCATTCCCAAAGACCCCAGAGGAGAGAGCTGCTGCTGCAAAGAAATACAATCTAAGGGTTGAAGACTATGAACCATATCCGGATAACGGAGAGGGGTGAGTTTCTTTTCGAAAACTTTTTAGCTTATGTCGCATTCCAGTATAATTTTATAAGCATTGCTCATGTAGAAGGAGTCCAATGAATGAACGTGAATCATGGACATTCGGAACTAACGCTTTAATTTTATTGTTTCCATAGCTACGGTGATTACCCCAAACTAACAAACAGGTCCCAACACGAGAGAGACCCCTGGTACCAATGGGACCACCCTGACTTGAGGAGGAACTGGGGGGAGCCGGTAAGACAGGAATGAAATTCCCTTATTGTAGATATATTTTTATTTCTTAATTATTAACATAAATACCGGCAGTTTAAAGCTTTTGTTATTCATATGTATTACCTTCTTTAAAGAAATACAAAGTCCCATACTATACAATTTTACAGTTCACATGGCTGGACATCCATGAAGAAGTATTCATACGTCGTCAACCTTTTACTTTTTTTCACATTATAACAACCAGTGTCAGTGTGTTTATTATAGGAATGAACTACACAAAGTAATTTCTAACTGAAATGGAAGTTAAAATATATTCTTAAAACTGAACTTTGTTTTCTTGCAGTCTTTTACTTTTCTCCTTGCACTTTTGTCTCATGGAAAAATTTTTTACTCTGTTGTTTTAGGAACATTTTGGGTCAAATAACTTGGATTTTTTTTCTTGTTCAAATAATGCAATGGCTTTTAAATGACTTTTAACAGAGCTGCACATTGATATTACAGTGGCACAGTCAAAATACGTAACTAAATCCATTTAGCATTCTGTGGGAAGACGTGAAAATTGATGTTTAGATGCTCTCCACATAATGTAACCTTGAATGAGCTACTCTGCAAAGGAAAATTGTGACCAAACATTTCTGTCTATTTGCAAATGAATGCTTAAAACGCATATAGAGTCATCAGATTAATAGGCTGTTCTGTTGTGTCAATATTCTAGATGCACTGGGATTTTGACATGTACATCAGAAACCGAGTGGACACATCTCCAAGCCCTGTGCCATGGTCATCGATGTGGAAACAACTGTTTGGTTTCATCGGGTTCATGTTGTTCATGTTCTACATGGGGGAGAAATTTCCATCCTATCAACCTATTGTAAGTTCACACCCAATTTTAGTGTATACAATTACAGTAGATGGACTCAAGTAATGTGCATTATTTCATGCCATGCTATGGGCTTTTCTATGTTTAGTAATGCTTTACAATACTTCACTGATGGAGTTGCAGTAAGGATTGGACACGTAGTGTTGTGATGGTTGCTTTAAAAAGAAATTATACTTCTCAAAATCCTGGTATATAATTTAACTAAATCAAACCAATTGGTGCATATGTAGAGCTGATAGGCAAAGCGCACCTGTAATTATGGTTACAGGATGTTAAGACAAGACATATGCACCCTGATAACTTTGGGTACTTGTTTCGTTTTCTGCTCCAGATTACCTTATTTTTGCATTTATGTATTAAGTAATACACTCATTTATTTCTTTTGTTTCAGGCCCCAAAGCAATATCCCTACAACAATCTGTACTTGGAGAAAGGAGGAGATCCTGCAAAGACACCAGAGGAAGTTAAAAATTATGAAATCTAAACCTAAAATACAATTTTGCTCTTGTATATATCTCTGGCAAAAATAAAGACTTATGTTAATGTCTAAAATATCTGTGTGGAATTGTATTTTGTTCTGTGTAAAGACTAAATTTGTTTCATGCAATAAAAACAGAACTTGATGTTTTTTTAAATATTCAGATGAAAAAAAATCAATTCTGACAATTGTACTATCCCAGATATGGTTCAGGGCGTTAGTTCAGCTGAAATTTGAGGCTAAATAAAATTGTCCCTGAAGGCGATCCGTAGCTTAGTGACAACACGGCAGTAGCACTTTGGTCTGGGCTGCTAGCTTCGCTGATAAGTAGCACTGGAGCGTGTAGACGCAAATTGTCAAGCTGTGTAACACAGTTTACGTAAGTTGCTTTTAGAAACTACATTTCTCTAACCAGGAGATTTAAATTGAGTCTTTTGATCTTGTGTTTTATTTGCCTTTGATGTACTGCAATTGGGGTGGTGGCTAACGGCTAGCTAGGTAGCAACAGCAGCATCGGCTTGGAGTATAAAATGGAAAACTTAAGACATGGTATTTTCATAGATTGGTTGAATATATGACATTTTAATCCTAACGCTAAATAATTAATATTAATAGATTTCGTTTGTATTGTAAAATTTACTGAATGCTACGGTCGAGGTGTGCTTGCGAAATGCTAACTCGCTAGCTACCTGGCAGATAAAAAAATCTGCCAGGTAAAATCTTGACGAATATAGAACTAAGAACAGCATCAATTTAAATCAATTGTAATTGGCTATAATTATGGTTAGATTATTTTTGTTATTCGGGCTACTGCTGTGTGAAGGAGACTGAATGTAAAGACATTTCCTATGGCAGGTAACAGAAATAATCTGAACGGATGTTACTGTGCTTCAGCAACACGGAAAAGGAGGAATATAACCAAATCGCCAGATTTGGGAAGCGATATCGTCTTCTGGTGTCGGTCCAATGTCCATCCATCCATTTTCTGTACACCCCTCTCCCTAGTGGGGTCGGGAGAGGTGCTGGTGTCTATCTCCAGCGAATGTTTCGGGCGAGAGGCGGTGTACACCCTGGACAGATCGCTAGTCTGTCGTAGGGCAACACAGAGATAGACAGGACAAACAACCATGCACACACACACACACACACACAAACTCCTAGGGAGAATTTAGAGAGATCAATTTACCTGACAGTCATGTTTTTGGGCTGTGGGAGGAAGCCGGAGTACCCAGAGAGAACCCACACGTGCAAAGGGAGAACATGCAAACTGTGGATCCAGTGTATTTTATCAAATTCAGAATCAGAAAATTATAGCGCTGTATACATTTATTTTTCTACTAAGAACGTCGCATTCTGTTTATCTATAGTAGTTATGTTAACCGATACAGTAAAACATGCCTATAATAAAATAACATAGTGCTGGTTTTACCTTCCTAGGCTTTGAAACTTTAACCTCTATAGTGGAAGATGAGGCTGAAGGAAATTCAGAGGACTGCCCACCAGGCATGGAGTCCTGCCGGACACCATCCGATCTACCTGGCCTTAGGAACATCAGCACAACAGCTTGATGCTTCTTTCAACACCACAGCTGCCATAGAGATATTTGAGATGGATTTTGCTGACCCATCTCTGGAGATGCAGCTCAAGGGTTCATTACCCACCACAAACAGGTACTTTATCATACATTTACACACTTTATCATACATTTACACATTTTAAGGTGCAAATCCTGCAGCCTCCATCAGTCAGTACGTAGAACTCACATTGTGTTTGATTTTTGATTTTGCTTACTGATGGATGATACTGCATTTTTATTACAGACCTTTGCTGTTTACTATTGTTGTAAATGGTGTATGATTTCTGGATTATTATTTTATTTGAGAAATTGCAACCATAGTGCATTGTAAAACTATTCACACCCTTGGAACATTTTTACTCCTTTGTCACAAGCTTTGTTGTATTTTCTAGCATTTTATGTACTGACACAAAGTAGCACATGATTTTCAAGTGGAATGAATTATTGGGTATTGGAAGTATCACACAGTTTGCTTGTTTTACTTATAAGCAAACTGAAATTGTAGTTTTTAGAAATGTTTCAACCTTCTTTGCACATGTAGAGGCTGACCTTTTATTTTTCACAGGCTTTCGGGAATACAGTAATGCTTGTTTTGCTCCCATAGGTTGCACAGCATTGTATGGGTAAATTTTGGGACCACAGAAGATGGGACTGGAGGGAGACTTGTTGGTGGAAGCGAAAATGGCTCATTGACTGTATATAACCCAGAGGCTATCATAAGTTCTGGAGCAGAAGCAGTTGTTGGGCAGTCTGACAAACACACAGGACCAGTCCGTGCACTTGATTTTAACCCGTTCCAGGTAAATGCATTGCGATTATAGACAGTCTATTCAAAAGCACATCTCGTGTAATTTATAATTTTCTATCTGTGATCTTTTGTTTCGCAGAGTAATCTTCTTGCCTCTGGAGCGAATGACTCTGAGATCTACATCTGGGATCTAAATAACTTCAGCAGCCCAATGACTCCAGGAGCAAAAACACAGGTGAGTACTGGATTTAAAAAAGTTACAGATTCTATGTACTATATAAATTCATTTACAATTGAAACTACAGTCATTTTCAAATTTAAGTTCCTATTTTTGTAGTTTGAAATTTGAATAAAAGTGGAACTTCTTTTGCTTATGGTGTCTACTTTGCTCTTATTTGCAAAACTTGCCTGCTTTTTTCAAGAGTTGTCTCTGACGTTAATTATTTGATTTGTATTTGATAAGCAGCTGTTTTCTCTTGTTTCAGCCCGTTGAAGACGTCAGTGTTGTGTCGTGGAACAGGCAGGTTCAGCACATCCTGGCTTCTGCTAACCCCAGTGGGAAAGCGGTTGTGTGGGACTTGAGGAAGAATGAGCCCATCATAAAGATCAGTGATCACAGCAACAGGGTTGGTTGTTGTTCTTTCTTTTTTAATTATTATTATTAAAAATAGATAGTAGAGATTTGCCTGTTGTCCATCAGGGCATGTAACAAAGGCTCCCTTAATAATTTATTTTAAGCAATGTTTTGTCCATTTGTAATACATTTGCAATAATATAATCTCTGGTAAGCGTTTCTTCTAGTACACAGAAATCAGTCCATACCATTCCCTAACTTTCCCAAGTATATCTGTGTACTTTAAAATATAACCAAAAAGGCAATAGTATTCCACTTAAAAAAAGGCTTCTTGCTTTTATTTATTTAACTTTTTTACTTGAACAACTGAAATAAACAAATTTATCGGTTTTAATTTTATTCAGATCTGAAATTTTCGAAATGAAAAGTGCAGCCCAGTAAATAAAAATATAATTGAAAAGACTTTGATGGTAAATGGATGTTGTGATTTTTTGCATTCTACCTTATTATGTGACTGAAGATGCATTGTTCGGGAATGCTGTGGCACCCTGATGTGGCCACCCAGCTGGTGTTGGCCTCAGAAGATGACCGACAGCCAGTCATCCAGATGTGGGACCTTCGCTTTGCGACGTCGCCCTTTAAAGTGCTGGAGAATCATAAGCGGTGCAGTTTTATTGATTTGTCTCTTGTTAGCATAAATTTGATTGAATTTTTATTCGATTTTTCCCAATTTTGTTCCGCTTGTGTCTTCCAGAGGAATTTTGTCCATTTCATGGAGCCAGGCTGATTCGGAGCTCCTCCTGAGTAGCGCTAAAGACAACAGGATCCTCTGCTGGAATCCAAACACTGGAGAGGTATTTGCATTTTTATTTACCTGTATGTAGTTCTGAAATTAGCTCTCTTGGCTACATTGATCTTCACTGGTGTCTTGATTTTTATATTAGGTAATTTATGAGCTTCCAACAACAAACCAGTGGTGCTTTGATGTCCAGTGGTGCCCCAGAAATCCGGCCCTTCTTTCAGCAGCGTCATTTGATGGGAGAATCACAGTTTACTCTGTGATGGGAGGGAGCTTGAAGGCTCAGCAACAAAGCACAGCTGACATGGTAATTACTAGTTTAAAGTTTAAATGTCAAAAGTTTTGAACATTTAGTTGTCTGTCCACAAGATGGTGCTGTTGTAAAGAAAATCACGCTGACTACTAACTAAATTTGAAAGAGGAAAAAAATACTTCCTAGAGAACTGGTGTTTCCCCTGACAAACACCCATAGCAACAGTTTATTATAATGGAAGTACTAAAAAGAAAGAGTTGATGCAAATATTGAAACATATGAGAGTTTTCCAGTGTTTGTGTTTATTTGGAAATGAAAAAGAGATATTCTGTTCCATGAATAACTGAATTAATTTAGCATGTAGTTGTTAATTAAACAAATCATGTTCTTTATATTTTGCCAGATATCCTCTTCATTTGATACAATGGATCCCTTTGGTACCGGACAAGTGCTGCCTCCTCTACAAGTTCCTCAGCCCAATGTGCAGGAAACCATCGTTCCTCCTCTGAAGAAGCCTCCTAAATGGGTGCGCAGGCCAGTGGGAGCTTCCTTTGGGGTAAGTGTGATATTAGAATATTTCATGCTGTGTTTGGTTGCCCTGGATTTTATTTAAGAGTATCCAAACAAAGGGGACTGAATACATATGCAAGGCTGGCTTTACAGATTCTTTTATTTATTTATTTAAAAATAATTTTAAGTTTGAAAACCAAGCCATATATTTTTTACCCTCCTTTTTTCCCATTGTGAGCTACTGTGATCCCAGTAAAATACATTTCAATGTGTGGTTGCAAAAAATTGAAAAAAATGTGAAAATGGTCAGGGCAGATTAATTCTTTTTGGATTTAGATATACACCATGTTTTTTTATAGTATTGAACTTGTTTTTCTTCTGATTTTTTTCCCCTGTTTTTCAGTTTGGTGGAAAATTGATAACCTTTGAGAATTCAAAGCTTCCTCCGGTGCAAAGCCCCCAGCCTGTCCCCAGACAAGTGTTTGTGAGCCAGGTTACCACAGAGACAGAGTTCCTTCAGCGCTCCAGGGAACTTCAGGCGGCGCTGCAGTCGGGTTCCTTCAACAACTACTGCCAGGCCAAGATTCAGAACGCCAAGTCGGATGCAGAACAAGACATATGGAAATTCCTGCTGGTATGAGTCTCATCGTGTTTAAACACAACCTGAATCTCTCACTCAATCTGGGGTTTTGATTTGTCACATTCCTCGGATTACAGGTCAACTTTGAGGACGAGGCCCGTATTAAATTCCTTAAACTTTTGGGTTTCAGCAAAGATGAATTGGAGAGAAAGGTATTCTGCATTTTTAAAATAGTTTCTTACCTTTTCTTTGAGGCATACCATGTCGTAGCTGTAAAAACATTATCTTGATGTAGATTTCAAAATGTCTGGGGAAGAATTTTCAATCCAACGGCCACGGAGTTGATGCCAAAGATCTTGCAGAGAAGATGCAGCGTCTCACAACTGAGGTGAGATGTTCTCCACATTTGTGTGTTTTGAAATCATAACTACTGAAAGAATTAAATCTCCATTTTTCTCTCCAGAGATCAGATGAAGCTGCAGCTGATGCTAGAACCTCAGGGTCCATTTCACCAGCAGACTTCTTCAGTCATACTCCAAAGGACAACTCCACCTTCCAAATTCCTGTATCATGTGGTAAAAACCTTTCTTTAATAAATACAAGAATAACTTTCATCTCATTGCTGTTTGTTTTTACTGTAATCAAGGCAGTTTCTGTTGGTCACCTGATTCCAAATGCCAATCATTTCTGCAGACACTGACGGTTTGATAAGCCAGGCGCTGCTGGTTGGCAACTTTGAGGGAGCCGTGGATTTGTGTCTCAACGATGGTCGCTATGCTGAGGCCATTTTGCTATCCATCAGCGGTGGAGAGGATCTTCTCAAGAAGACACAGCAGAAATACCTAAGCAAGCAAAAAAACAGCATATCAATGGTAAGATTGTGATGCAGGTGTATCTCAGTAAACCGGAATATTATTGACAAGTTAAATCGTTTCATCAGTTCAAGTCAGAATGTTGAACTTGCACAGTATATGGATTCATTACATCCAGTGTGATATATATATATATTAAGCGGTTATTTTCACTGATGATTGTGGGTTACTGTAAGAAAAATAACCTTCAGTTTTTCAGAAAATTAGAATCTTACAGATGAAACAAAGGATTTTCAATAGAAATGTTATACTATAATACATATTTTCCACTACACCTTTTCCTTCCTCTCCACTTTTCTTTAGTGTGCAATGGATACAGTGTTCTGTGAACAGCAAATTTATGTATAAATATTTATCTTTAAAGTAGCCTGTATATATATCTGTGTGCAATCAGTCTGTATAACTTTGCTATATAACATAATGTTTTCTAAATCATAATTTATTTCCCAAAAACTTCAGCTTATATCATCAGTGGTGACCCAGAACTGGAGAGACATCGTGCAGAACTGTGAGCTGGACAACTGGAAGGAAGCTCTTGCTGCTCTGCTGACTTACGCTCACCCCGAAGACTTTGCTTGTTTTTGCGGTAAGTTAAATATTTATTGCCATGCAAGTCAAATCCTAACATGTCTTGCCTCTGGGGGAACTGTTAAATTGCAGTTCATTGTTTTTCTTTCTCACTAACCCCAGCCTATGCTTGCTCCGTTTCCAGTCGTTCTTCTAACTTTAATGTTTGGGAGTTGTGTCATTTGTCCCACCAGATACCTTGGGAAACCGGCTTGAACACGAGGGCACAGAGAAGCGCTGCCTGCAGGCCTGTTTATGTTACATCTGCTCTGGGAACATTGAAAAGCTGGTGGAGTGTTGGGCCTTGCACAGAGACTGCTCTTCCCCTCTTGGACTAGAGGTACAGTCTCAGTATGGATCTGTGCCTCGGTATAAAAGCAACTTTGACATTTTTCTAGATTTTTAAGAAATTACCAAAATATTGAAAATATGTGTATGATTTATTATGTTAATTTTCCTCATAAGAACTAGTTTTCTAGCTGATTGTTTTTGGAGTTAATCTATGATAGTACAGATTCATACACTCATAAAAACTATGTATATATAAAAAAAGAAGAAGTTATTTAACCGGGTGTGATGGCAAACAAAAATGTAAACATCTGTTCTTATGATTTTGTACAAACTAAATGATGGTTTCACAGATCAAAAAGTGAGTTGTGTTTTGTTTCAAAACAGAATAATCCAGCCCAGAAGTGTTTTAGTATTTGAAATAAATCTAATCTACGTTGGTCCAGTTTGGAGCGAAAATTCATTTTTTGACTTTTTGTTTGAAATCTGAGTCTTTAACAGAAAGGTGTAGGAAGCCTGTGTTAAACTGTGCATCAATTTATGTGAACATTATGTGTTTTGTTTTTTTGTAGGATCTGGTTGAAAAAGTAATGATGCTGCGGAAGTCAATTGAGCGCCTCCGCAACAGTGAGGTGGCAGTGCAGAGCCCTGTGCTGGCTGAGAAGCTGACCTGCTACGCTGGCATCCTGGCTGCAGAGGGCAGCTTAGCCACTGCCATGACCTACCTGCCTGACAACTCAGACCAAGTAAAAAAAACTTATTTTATAGCCTTTAGTTTGACAGTTTGTAATTTTTCACTTGAATTGGTTTTTGTACTACTTTTTTCTCATCAGCCTGGCATCAGGATGCTGAGAGACCGGCTGTACCATGCTCAGGGAGAGGCTACTGCCCAACAGCAACCTCCAAACTCCTTCAACAGGGTCGGTGTACCAACAGCTAATCCCACTCCTGCAACTCAGCCTCCTGCACAAAAAGCACCAATCATGGTAGAGATGGCTTAGCCATAAATTCAGTCATAATACCTCAAAACATTTAGTTTAAATTGCTCAACATATTGTTTTTTTGTTGTTGTTGTTTTTTGTAACCTTAGAGTCAGTTCCAGCCATCTGCTCCACCACAGGTTCCTTCACAGCAGCAGCCTCCAATGCCATCAATGTTTACTCCTCAAGTTCCTCTACCCAACCCTGGCCCAGGTCTCCCATCATCTACTCATGCACATCCGCCCAGTTCCACCCGCCCAGTTGTAAGGCCTTCCTACCCACAACATCCTGCTACAGCTCCAGGTTTGGCAGCTTGAAAATTAGCTTAAAGATTCTGTCTTGCAAAATGTACCATATCCTCTTTTGAATTTTTACGTATTTCTTCACATAACAACCACAAACTTCACTGTATTTGAGTGGAACGTCCTGCATGCATGCAAAAATTAGCATATAATTGAGAAATGAGAGGGATAAATAGTTTTTAAAAAATCTAAAACGTTTGGCATTTAGTGCTTTTTGATCTGATTCTCTGAAATGATATGCAATGCAATCAGTTGCCTTCAGAAGCCATGCAATTAGCATCATGAAGGCAAAGAAAGACAGCAGACAGGTCATGGATAAAGTTGTGGAGAATTTTAAATGAAGGTTAGATTATAAAGCAATATACCCCCATTGCCCAAACATCTCCCAAATCCCAGCTACAATGCTACCAGCACATGTCTGCACACTAAAATAACAAACCTAACACTGCATGAATGTGGCAAAAATTGTTTTTGTCTGAGGAGACAAAAATTGTGCTTTGTGGTTTACAGACAAAACTTTTTGTGAAGTGAAACTAACACGCCACCCCCACTGTGCAAAATGGTTGCAGCATCTAGCTGTTGGGTAGCGTTTCATCAGCGCAGAGTCGATGGGGAAATGGATTGATCTGAAAGTGTAAAAGACTCCCACCTGACTGCTTACATACACACTTGCATACCTGTTTGCACATTCACTCTCTCATACACATGCTCATGAACATAAAATAAAAAATATCAGTTGCATAACAGACGGCTTGTCCTTCCAGCAAGGTCAGACAGATTTAGCAGGTCATACAAACTTGCTCTTACTTTGGAAAAGAGCTAATAAGGGTGGTGTTTTGTCAATTTAGTTGTGGGAATTAATTTTCTCTTTCTGAAAACTCAGATGTCAAAGCTTTTGGTTTTTAAATCTTCAAGGCCACAGTTCTTTTGAGAAACACTTGTAAACTCATTAAAAGAGAATTCATTTGCTCCTAAATCACCGCCCAGAGACGGATACATTAAATTCTTAGCTTGGGTTTTATTCAGTGTTTGATTCACTGTGCTGCATCTGCTTTTTAGCAGACATTGTGAGAATAGAGCTAAAAATATGATTAAGTTAACACCATGCACAAATTGTTTTTTTTTTTTTATTTACCGTAATATAAATTCATAAGCATAGGAATGATAGATTCCAGAACATTATGGAGTTAAAGTTTACCTGTTCCTTCTTGCCACCTTAGTGTTTTTGGGGTTTTTATTTAATGTGCAACACATGTCAACATTCTCTTTGACTTAAAAATCAAGCTCTTACCAGAGCTTTTTTTTTTAAAGTTTATTCATATGTTACAATGATCATTTTCTGGATTTTGTATTTTAAGTAAATGTTTCCTCTTTCTGTCCATTTCCAGCTTTCTCTTCTCATCAGCCATTCCAGCCTCAGCCCGTTTCCAGTGGCGGTCCCTTCTCTCCCACTGGCCCGCCAATGCCAGCTGCAAGCCTAACTGGGCCTCCACTGCCACCTTCATCCTCCATCCCTGGAGGCCTGCCCCCCACTCCAAGCCCTGGGGTGCCTCCTATAGGATTTGTACCGTCTACCTCTTTACCCTCAGGCATGACGCCGCCCAGCTCGCAACCAGGAGCACCAGGTCCAATTTTCCCTGGCAGCTTCCACAGCCATGGCTCAGGACCCCCCATGGCATCTAGTTCCTTCCCTCCTATCGGAGCTGGATATCCCCAGGGAGGCCCTGGAGCTCCTGCAGCAAAGCCTTTCCCAGCCCCTGTCGTTGCTCCTCCTCCTACAGGTACACATGGGATCAATTATGTTCCAGTCAGAAGTGAAATTCCTTTAATCTGATTGCATTTTTTCCCCCATTTTTACCAAATAAGGACATTATTTATAGGATGATAATGATGAGAAAAAAAACTTGTATTCAGATGTCACACCGTTTTTAATTTGCAGGAAATTTTCCCTGGCTGAATTTCGAGTGTGATCATCAAGGTGACGCATCGAGTGCTTGATATAGAAAATAGAACTGCGTGAACAGAAAAGCAAGCAGAAACATGTAGACGAAGATGCATATGCATAGCTGAAACAGGTTTCCTTTTTGCTGCTGAATTGCTTCTGCTTGTCTGTTGCTTATATCACCCAAAAACTGAAGATTGCAAAGAGTTAGATGATTAAAATGAGTTTTTATATTTTAAAATAATGTAACTAAAGTTTATTTTTATTAGGTTAAAAGTATTCAATTTCCTAATTTTGTGGTAGATTTCCAGCTTTTATACAGACTTAGCCTATTCCTATGTATTTGCAAAAATATAGTTAGCAACTTGTCTTAGTTATTGGCATGGTCAGCATTGCTAACATATCACTCTTAGAGAATGTGGATGTTTAGCTTTACTTTCTCCACATCCAGCATATTCTGTGACAGAACTGAAAGTTGAAAAAGATAAAACACAACAGCTGAGCTTTACTCCCTGCAGCTTTCTTGTTATTTCCTGAAAGTCCTGATCGTACAAACATCTCTTGGTGTGTCATAGAATACAGTTTCCCTTTAAATATCTTCTAACAGCTCTGTGCTTTCTCTGACTGATATTGAAAGTAGGTTGACTCTTCTGTCTGTAACAGAGCTGTTGTTACTGATCGTGCTTAGATATTATGAGATCGCCTGTTAGAAAAAAAAATGACTTTTTTTGGGTTTCTGCCAATCACCATTCAAAACTTGCTCACTATGGTTTATTATTAAATAAAAGTGTAGGTGTTATGTCACTACATTTTCTTCTAGCTAAACTGAATGTAGTTTCACTTATTACTCATGATAACTTCATATAGATATTTTAAGTTAGCTGCTGAATTTGCTCAAATCCTTAAAATCTGAGTGGTTAAACATTTTTAACTTGCAGTGTGTTGCTATGCAGACTAACATTGGCTCAAAGGTCACACAAGAAATCTAAAAAGTCATATTCAGACTTAATCAGGCAATCACTTGTAAGTCTAAAAGCCAAACAAAAAGCCAAATAACTGGAATAGAGGAGTGCTAGAGAACATTTGCGCCATGCTAAAATTCAGGAGCAGATATGCCAGCTACAGTACCTTGAAAATATATTTGTACCCCTTGACTTTTTTCCTCATTTAGTCACATTGCAGCTACAAGTTTCCAGAGCTGGGAGTTATAAGTCAGCATGGTGGTGGCAGCATCATGCTGTGGGGATTTGTTGCTTTGGCAAGGACAGGGAGGCACCAATGTACATTGTGCTTTTGTAATTACTTGGAAAAACCTTTGGAAACCGTGAATCACTTTCTTCCTGTGCACAATTATGTGCGTGATTTGTGTTGGTCTGCCACATAAAACCTAATAATGTACGTTAACTTGACAATTTGGGAAAAATTCAAGGGATGTAATAGTTTTGCAAAACACTGCATGAGTTTTGCAGCAGCAGAGAGATTTGTGGGCAATCTGCACACACATGTAGACACAAGTCTTGTCTGACTGGTTTTGTCTGCCATGTTTCACAACATTGTTTGTACATGTTATCGATAGTTTGTTTGAAAGCAGCTTTTTACTTCCTTTCTTGGTCATCTGCTTCTATCTGTTGGCCTTTTTTCACATGATAAAATGAACCTTATATTTTTTCTGTAGGACCACATGATGGCTGGAATGATCCACCAGCAGTTCGCACTGGACCCCGGAAGAAGAAGGTATTTATTCATTCATTGCTTGATGGTGATGGTCAACCATTTGAAGTTGATGTTTAAAGTAGGGACGCACCAACATTGGCCAATGTTGGTCACTTTTTTAACATCAGACTTTGTTAGAAAACACTACTGTGGCTCCTAATGCCAAATCTTATTAAATAAATGACATAAAATGTCAGTTTGATTTTTTTGTGGTAGTATTTACTGTGAATCTAAAACAATACTCCTGTTAAAATGTCATGTTTCAATATGACAAAATAAAAAAACATGACAAACAGTTTCAAAGCTTTTCTGATTTTGTTTCACAAAAAAACATGCAAATGTGTTACTTTTCAAATTTTTTTTGAGTTTTTCTTCTGTTTTCTTGTCATCAGATCATGTTTTGTCCAGCCTGCCCTGCAAAAATTCTTCTACTCCATCAGATGTCTAGACGCCTTGTTCATGTCGTACTTCAGGAAACTGCTGAGATCTTGATTTTGACACTTGAATTCATTCAAAGTGAAACTGAAAAAATGAAATCCCTGTTCGTCTTCAGTTTCTCAGTGGATTCCTGAAAGTATTGTGTCAAAACCGATTGTAACAGTTCACATTCACACTACTGAACAAAAACTTTTAGTCCCATCTGAAGTTAAGGCTTCATGTCAGGAAAACAAAGTGCATTAACTCAGAAGATCATAAGATCTTCTATCTTCTACCTGCTTCCTTATTGTGTTCAGTTGGCATGACTATTGCTTATTTTTTTCAGTTTTTTTATTTTTTGACAGTCTGTTCAAAATAAATAAATAAATACTCTGAGGAAAACCAGCCCCACTACCAGTTTTACGTTGCACTGTATCAAATTTAAACGTTGACCTCATGCCTTGCTCAACAACCACGTTGAACCTTTCTGTGTGTACAGATCCCTGATAACTACACTCCACCAGCCCCCATCACTGCTCCTGTGATGGGGTTCCCAGTGGAGGCCCAACAGCCACACAACCACACCCAAGTCCCTCCAGGAGCCCCTCAGGAGCCAAACGTACAGGTTTGTTTCCAACGAAGGAATGGCATCAGCTTTTATGTTTGTTTTTTGTTGTTGTTGTGTTTTTTTTTCCATTTGTGCGTGTTTGTTGCGCAGCTCCTCCAGCAGTTGCCCGCAGAGAGAGTGGAGCAGAAAGAAATCCCAGCGGAGCACATGGTCCTCAAAAGCACCTTTGACAGTTTGGTGCAGCGCTGCCAGCTCGCTGCAGGAGATCCTGTAAGGCAGCATGTTTTCATTCTCCTGTTGGTTTTCTTGTCATTTCGCAGTCTGTTATCTCTGCAGAGGAATGTGTGTGGTAAGATAAAACATCTAAATCTTTTTTTCAGCAAACAAAAAGGAAGCTTGACGACGCAGGAAAGCGTTTGGGACACTTGTATGACAAGCTGAGAGAGCAGTCGGTAAGGAGTGTTTTGTGTTGATAGCAGAATAATTCACGTCTTGAGTCAAGCAGGAGCAGGGAAGGTTTGTTTCGGTAGCAGATGCTCTGCAGCAGGCGGCTCATGGTCAACATGCAGGCTGCGTGGAGATCAATATGTTCTCAGAGACGTGACGTCAATTAACTGAAGCTGATCAGAGTGTCTCCAAAAATGTCCGAGGTTTCTTATCTAGAGCATGTTTTGTTTTGTTTTGTTTTCAATGCAAAACTTTTTTTTTCTGGTAACAAAGAAGTAATCTACCTGTCTATCTTTTTTATTAAAAGCCTGACAGCACTATAAAATGTAACAATTTTTACTCCTCTTCAGCGTGAAAATAAATTGGGGAAAAATACATTTTCATAAGCAGATCAAGGAAGTGTCAGAGTTTATACTCTTTAAAAAAACATGAATGGTAAAACAATTTGATTGTAAATCATTTATTGTCTTAAACCCAGAAATATATGATGTCCATTCCGGTAGACTGGGGATTTTAGGGGTTAAACTTAAGTTTGGAGAAAAACATACAAGAATTGAATAATCTGGAAAACAAAACTGTAGCATAACAACTTACCAATGCTTTTTAGCTCTCTCACAACATCCTGAGTGGACTCCATGAGATCAGCCGCTGCGTGGCGAGCCAAAACTACCAGCGGGGCCTGGAGATCCACACTCAGGTGGTCAGCAGCAGCAACTTCAGCGAGATCTCTGCCTTCATGCCCATCCTCAAAGTGCTCATGACCATCGCCAACAAGCTGGGCGTCTAACACCCCGAAACAACACCGACCACTCTTCAGTGTTACCATGTTGTTGTATACATATTTATTTCCTTTAAGAGCTGATGATGTGTCAACAATGCGAATAATGGCTGATAGCGTTATGGAACCTGATCCCTCCAAGAGGACGCCGCGGCTGTCTGAGCCAATGAGGTGAAGTTTTTGTAGATGTCTGTTGATGTTGCTGTGCTAATTTTTTTACAAAAAGATGAATGTATTCAGAAAGTGGCTGAGTATATGAATTGAAAATAGTGATGTAATACATAAAACCGGTTGATGCAAAGCAGGTGTATTTCCATAAAACGCGTTACATCGTACTGCAGTGTGTATTTTTCCTTTATGGCACTCGTGGATTTTGGGGGGTGGGAGGAAAAGTGGAATGAAATGCATGCAGCGCTCCAGCTGCAAAAACAACACATCCAGGGCTCACACTATCAAAAATCATGAGAATAAAATCTGGGTCGTCTTTACAATCCACTCCGTCTCTGTAATCTGTATGAGGGAGGCACAGACTGGCACAACTGTGTGAACCATTTTGTAAAAACAAATCAAAAGCATTTGAACAAGCATTTCTGATTGTTCCGAGGGTTTATTTCTTGTAATGACAGTGTGGCGAGTCTGTGGGTCAAAGCACTGAAGAAGAATGTTCTGTCAAATGTTTTATTTTCTATTAGATTGAACCTTGATAGCTTGTGTGAATGATTCCCCCGCCCTTTTACCTCCATATTTGCATTAATGTGCATGCTTTCGTCTATTTATCCTAAGATGAATTCAAACAGTAGCTCTTGACAGATTGCAGATGATGTTCATAGTTTTGTAGCTACTTATGACAAAAAAGAAAAAAAACAACAACCTGGGTTTGTTTTGTGGCGGCAGAGGGCAGGAAAGTGCCTCACTGTGCCTGTTTTGGTTGCACAGATATTTATACAATCCATGTTGCTTACTTTACTCATTTCGGTATGTTTTTGAAATAAAGTTCCACTTAATATTTGAAGTCTTCAAACATAAAATGGCTCTTATGATTCACTGAGTGCAATAGCTCCTTTTAGCCACATGTTGGATTTAATCATTTTTTTATTTTTATTTTTTCACTTTGTTGTTGTTTTTTCAGTTGATTAAGACCCATCAAATAACTTCCCCCGCTGCATTTACCTGTTTAAGGATAATAAAAATCATATAATGGCGAGGGATGCATTTGTTTTGTGTAAACTTTTCAGCACATCGCGATTACAGACCTGATGTCATGTGAGGACATCACATCAAGTTTTAAATAAACTAGTCGGGACAGATATTCTCTTTCAGTGGAGGTTTGTCACAGCAAACGCTCATTTCCGTTCCCACCGTGAGTCAGGGCCCCTGAATGCACCAGACTAATTCAGGAGCCATCCTCGGCCTCATGTTGAGCGTTAACAGTAATTAATTTCTCACCTGATGTTCCTAATAAATTCAGTCATTCCAACTGTTTCTCACGCTCTGCTCCCATTGGTCCAGGGGAATCAGAAGTGGAAACCTGACTGCTGATTGGCCGCTTTCAGTCGCATGTCATTATGAACACGTGATGGTGGGTTTTTTTGGGGGGTGGGGGGGGGAGAGAAGTGGGGGTGAACTTTAGCGAACTTTCTTACCTCTTTGGAGGCTCATAGAAAGCTGATGAAACATCAGCATCACACCACGATGCGTTCCGGATCATGCCAATCAGGCGTCGGGGTTGACTCGGTTTATCATGTGGGAGAAATGTGCTGACAGGACTGAATGCATCTCTGCAGTCCTGGTCGGTCTGTGGAGTCATGGTCCTGCGAAATCACTCAACTGGGATCATAGAAAGATATTTTATATATTTGCATATTCAGATTTTTTTTTTTAAAAATCCATCTTTATTTTTAAAGAGTACAGAGTAACTGATCAAACCATTTAATATCAAATTATTTAATATTTATCAGATGGATCAAAATAAAAAGTAAAGTGGAAATGTTTTTTTTTAAAGAACCAAAGTGACAATAATTCACATGAGAAACAAAAACATAACAAAATCAAGCAAAAATAATTGATTTATAAATCAGTTTGTTTCAATAAAACTTTTGAAACTTTAACAGAAACTGTAGTTGTGTGTCTTTGGTGAATTGTTGGTTAAAACATGTTTGTTTTGCATTCGGTGAAGTCAATTAGTGGGCAGAGGTTCCAGACATTTTAGTGATGTGTTATGAAAAATAACTCAAGTAAAAGCAAACAGTACAGTGTAGTAAAAATACTACTGAAAGTGCATTTAAGTAAATGTGACTTGTTACTTCTCAGCTTTGCTCAGAATCAATTCCACATCATGTTTACTCCTGCTGAGTTATATAGAGATGCTTAATGTGCCGCTAACTCATACTGTAAAACATATAACACCTCCTCATTTTTTAATATTGTGACATCAACATTTATGTCAAATTACAATTTTGGAAAAAGTTTTGGAAAGAGGGATAGTATAAACCTGATGGCAGTGCCTGTCATTTAAGATATTCTTACAATATAATGTGATATAATGTAGTTATTGTGCAATGTTTCTTTGAATGTTTGCACAATAACTCAATGATGGCAGAAAAAAAATCCCAAAAAGCTGCAAAAAAGAAAATGCAAATAACATCTTTAGCATAAATTTAGTCAAATCAAGTTCATTTGCTTAGCCCATCTCAGCAGTTCAACATGCTTAACATTATAAAACGTAACGCACGTAGCAAATAAAGCAATAACTCTTCTTTATGTGACACTAAGCAGTTAAAACAGCTAAAAATAAATGATTTAACTTTTATGACGGGAAACCAAAGTAGTCCTGGCCTGGCAGTGTAATGTGAACTGGTCTCAGCCCAGCATGCTGGCCTGACATTCCTTTCCATCCTGTGTGAAACCAGAAGTGGAAACCTGACTGCTGATTGGCCGCTTTCAGTCGCATGTCATTATGAACACGTGATGGTGGGTTTTTTTGGGGGGGAGTGGGGGAGAAGTGGGGGTGAACTTTAGCGAACTTTCTTACCTCTTTGGAGGCTCATAGAAAGCTGATGAAACATCAGCATCACACCACGATGCGTTCCGGATCGTGCCAATCAGGCGTCGGGGTTGACGCCTGATTGGCGTCAACCCCGTCAACAGTTGGGTTTTATTTCACAGGGACTTGAAATAAAATCCTGCTGCTTGTCCCGTGAATCGTTGGGCGAATTCTTAAACACAAAAGCGTCTTAAGGAACTGAAACAGGACTCCAGATTAACGTCACATAAACATTAGTGGCATAAATTATTATTATTAACCTCCAAAATGCAAGTTACACAGGCAACATGGATGGTTGTTATCCAAGTCTGACCTACTTCTCTAACTACTCTTCCCTGGTTTACAGCAGTTTTTCACAAAGGTCCTCCACATGGCTTCTGGTGGCACTTTCTAAAACTTTCTTCTTGGCGATTTTCAATAAAGACCAAATTTGTGGAGATCTTAACTAATAATTATCCTTTCAAAGGATTGACAGTCCTAGATTTTGTCTATGGGTTTAAGAGGCTAAGCAAAGGTTTTGTACTTTTTCTTAATAATGCAGTCCTCTGTATTAAGTCTTTACCTTCTGAGTGTCTGATCAGACCAGTAGAGCTGAATAAAAGAAGTCATTGGTTGCTTTTGAGCACTGCGGCAGATCACTCATTATGTGGACTTATATGTTTGAGGCTGTGCAAAGATTAATTTATTGCAGGTGAGGAGTTCGGTGAAATACAACTAATTTGTTGAAAGAGGCTTAAAATTAATTTTCCTGTTCACCTCTTAGAAAACGTTTCTCCAGCAATGCTGAAACTTCAAAAAGAATCAGCTCAGAGCAGACAGATGACTGCACATCAGATAGTGTCACCAAGGTATCCATTGTCTGTTCACTCTTGTCCCAAATGGGGTCGGGAGTTGCTGATGTCTATCTCCAGCTGCGTTCCGGGCGAGAGGCGGAGTCACCCTGAACAGGTCGCCAGTCTGTCGCAGGGCAGCACAGAAACAAACAGGACAAACAACCACGCACACACACACACACCTAACTTAACAGTCATGTTTTTGTTTTGTAGGAGGAAGCCGGAGTACCCGGAGAGAACTCACGCATGCACGGGGAGAACATGCAAACTCCCGGAAATCGAACCTGGGACCTTCTTGCTGCAAGGGAACATTGCTTCCAACTGCACCACTGTGCAGCCCGTCACGAAGACATATAAAATCCAAATGCTTTGATTTTGTATTGTATTATGTGACCTTTTCATATTTCACTCAGATTCATATATCTTACAGTGTTTTTATCAGGTTTTTGCAAACCTTTGGATGCTGCTGTTCAGGAAAAAACAGAACTGGGGACTCACTTTGAGTCCATTATTCTAAATTATTGAAATTTGCCCAATGAGCCTACAGCCTTCACACATTTAGGAGTATCCTCATGTTTTAATATTAATTTATTACACCCTCATGCTCAAGTACTAGAGGTATATAATAACTATGAAAATGACTACTGTTGTCCTTGCAGGGCGAAGCAAAATTGTTTTATTTTTGACATTCATACTGCTTCCTCAATGTGAACTAAAAATATTCTAAATGAACCACATGAAGATAAAGGAGGCAAATCTGTGAAGTGTTTATAATACAATGGCACACACACACAAAAAGAAGCAACAACCAACATTTTAGATTCCAAGTGTATTGAAAATATTGTGATTTTTATTTTAGAATAGGAAACAGTTGAAATCTGACAAACTGGAAACCTTTTCAATCCTTCCTGAAGCTAAGAAAATGCTTACACAGCTGATTTGACACTATTGGCTTGTGATGACATTTCTCTAGACAACATGGCAGCTCTGCTCCTCTCCTCTACCACGACCCTTATTTTACAAGTGAAAACTCCCAAATGAACATTTGCACCAGTGAGTGTTTTTCCAACATAAAAGCTACCTACCCTCCTCGTTCCAGTTGTCATCCCAAGATTTGTCAAATGGAGCTAAAGCTGTCTTGCCTTGCATTTCAACCTGCAAGCTATTTTCTTTCAGCATTTGAACCCTGGAGCTGCTGGAATGTAAAGAAATGGATTCATGTCATAAGGCATTAGGAGGCACAGTACCTTGAAAAATATTAATATGCCAAGAAATTTCCCAATTTGTCACGCTTCAACACTATACTCTTTTCAAAATTTTATTAGGATGCTGATTTCTCCAAAATATAATTTGGAAGTTAAAGGGAAATGGAACACGATCTCAAAAGTGTGGTGTGCATCTACGCTCTGGAGGAACAGCGGAAATCCAGCAGGATATCGATCAAATTAAAGTGCGTACCTACATCCCAATTTGACTTCACGTTAGCTGGTTTTTAAAGAAAACATAAAATTAAAATAACTGGCATCGGACAACTGATTTATGGCAGTTAATATTGCCACAAAGTATTAGGTTCCTTCTGCTTTGTAGTTATGCGAAGCTTTGTGCTGGTTTAATTCTGAAATCCCAATAAAATTCACAAGCGTCTGTCACAAAACGCTTGTGAAAACGTTTTGTGACAAAACAGCAAAAGGAAGGTGACAATATTTTTGCACGGTACTGTAGTCTGACTGCTGGCAAAGAAGAAAAGCAGGTGCTGCAGTTTAATATTTCACATATACGACACAAGACTTGGCCAAATCAAGGAGTGCAAAAACCATCAATTAAGAATATTTCAAGTCAAAAGAGGAAGAAATATTTTTCTTACATAAATAATTAAAGCATTCCATAGACCATAATCGCATATAAACACTAAGATTAAAGCACCTACAAATTGAAAATGGCAGTCCCTTTTTTTCAGACCGTCTCAGAGAATCGCCATCACAACAGTCCTGATGATACAACAGTGACAGAATGCAGATCTGCCATGACAGTCACTGACACATCACCTCAGCACAACACCTACTACAGCATATGGCCATGCAAAAGAATGGCATGTTTTATTTTTCTAATAGATCTGTCACGTGACTGGCTGCTGCACCGACCAATGAGAGCTCAGTCTTCACAATCATGTGATGTGAGAAAGAAACTATGGATTTTACCATTAAAGCGGCTGATTGGAACGCTTTCAGCGCAATTCTGCAAAGCTGAAAAGGAAATATTTTGAACATATCACTGTCACTAGCTACGTTAATGAACAAATGCAGCAAAACTGAAAATTTTATTGCGAACCTCAGGTTTTGCTTTAAATTTGGTTTCGTTTCTCTGCACAAGGCAACTGTATTAAACATCAACGCAAGCCGCACGACTCGGTTTTCAAATTTCAATAAAGCCAACGAGTAGAAACTAAGAAGATTTTTTTTTTAAATCGTAAAAAGTCATAAAGTTAATCTTTAGAACAGAATTCGTTTCAGAAAGTGTTAAACACGGAAATAAAGAAAAGTTTCCAACCAGCGTTAAATTAACATTGATGTAATACATAAAAATGATCAGCTACATTGGTGAATGCTGATGAAGACTGAACAACGGCAAAGAATAGTCCACTTCTAAAACTCAACAATGAAAGAGCTGAAACAACTGAGCATTGGGTCTGAATCTATATCGCAAATCTCAGAATTGTAAAATATTCTTTTGAACTCTAACATTTTGTGTGGCTACAGCTACAAAAAACCCCACCAAAAACAAGCAAACTGTGGTAAAGGCCCTTGTGACGCAGAATTTTAACCTCAGAAGATGAGCAACCGAGCAGCTGTCAGAGCGCTGTTAGTCATCTTCTTTTGAAGTGGACATTGTCTGTTCTGTGTTTCATCCTTCCTATTTTAATTATTTTTTTTTAGCCACTGCGGTGGCTTCCGTCTCCGGTGCGCTGTATCCGGGACAAGACCACCTCGTGGGACACCCTCTTGCGGTCCTTGGCCAGGCCCAGGAAGCACATGAAGTCGATGAAGCAGGTGGTGAGGTTCAGCTTGCAGCCGTACTCGCTGGTGGCGTAGTCATAAGGGAACGTGTGGTGGTAGTTGTGAAATCCCTCACCTAGATTTTAAAATGAATTTGAAAAAAAGAGGAATTATAACATTTGTATTTCAATGCCGGAATTTCAATAAAATCTTTAAACGGTTTGCACTTATGTGAACTAAAAAATGCTTTCATCTGACAGTTTAACCTGGAAGGGATTTTATCAGGGAATTTTATCAGCTTCTTTTAGGAAGCATTACTTCCTCCTATCATTCCAAACTCGGCCACACCCATCCTGTCAGATTTTTGCTCTTCATCATCCTTCTGCTCTTCACTTAATTCAATCCGGATCATTAACCGGCCCCGGTGCCGTGTTTGTGCCGCGCTCTATGCATCCCCCACACAGGAAGTCGAAACTGGGCGTCACTTTTGACCTCCACGCATTTGACGCACGATACGACAGCGGGAACATGGTTGCCTCCGATTTTTTCGCTTCGCAATAACAAATGCAGTCACATGTGCGTGCCTGTGTGAGGAGAGTGGGTGAACAGCATGGAAACTGTAAATACAAAATAAATCTCATATGATTACAAGTTCAGATGTATTGCATTGTTAAAACATCCTTGAATCTCAAAAATACAATATCTAGTAGAAGTTCATGGCTGTCAAATTGGATGAAAAATAATCCATTACAAAATGTGTTTTACACATAAAATATCTGAAAAGTGTGGCATGCTTTTGTGCTTCAGTGTTGCAGAAGCTTCTTTTGTTGCAAATACAGCTGTAAGTCTTTAAGGACTGTCTCTCCATAGGTAAACAGGCTTAGGTTATTTACCTAAGCCTGTAAGTAAGCCTGTAAGTAAGTAGCTACAGGCTAAAGTGTTTACCTATTCCTCTGTTAGCATCAATTTTCTGATACTTAGGTTCAATAACTTTTATTCAACACTGCAATACACTTAAACAAGATTAAACTAATCCCTGACTTTGCCTATTCAAGTTGTGACTTGAATTATGTATAAATTAAAGTTAAAACAAGTGTTAGGGGTGTTTTTATATACCTATGGCGCTGAAAGTGACAAATCTGTTCTCCCTCGGGTTGATGTTCTGGTCATACGGCCGGTTTCCCCACATGTGTGCAGCGCTGTTCACCAGCCAGGTGGCGTTCAGCACCAAGGTGTATCTCAGCAGAGCCGGGATGAAGTATGCCACCCACAGAGACTCGCCCCAGAAGTACCAAGGCACGAACATCGGAATAAAGAAGCACATCAGCAGCACAGAGAGCTTGTAGTGCCTGGTAGAGACAAACAGGAAAACAGCAAATTAAGAAATGCAGATAAGAACTCGGTTCTCTTCCAAGACACTTTTAGTTGAACTTTAAGTTACTCTGCAAGACTTAAACCACATTTTGCTATCTACAGCACGTCTTCAATTTTTCTTTTGCACTTTTTCTTGAAAAATTTTCTTTGTATTTTAATTGGACTCTATTTGATAGATCAGCATAAAGTAATGTGTGATTGTAAGTGGAAGGACAAAAGGATGCAAGAATTTACAAATAAAAATCTGAAAAGGAGGTATGCACTCAACCATTTTTCTCTGATGCCCCTTCATTCAACCTTGAGCAACTTGTCAGAGTCAATTTGTGTCTAATTTGTTGTCTGTTCGAAAGCCTCACAGGTATATGCATGATTTTAAAGAAAGAAAAAAAGCTGCAGGAGGTTGTGGATGTTCTACATTGTCTTCACTCAAGAATGCTAAAAAACAAACCCTTCCACTCCATAACACACAAAATTCAGATACAATTCATTAAGGTTCATAGCTGTGCCATGACCAAAGGGCTCATATTTGACCTCCTTCTTCAACACAAGCATATTTAGGTAAATTAGCTTACCTCCTCTGAAACATTACAACTTTGTCGCCTAACAGGTCGCTCAACTCCAGCTTGCCTCCCTTCTCGATGACGTCGGGATGTTTGCGTACCAGCAGCCAGCCAATGTGAGAGAAGAAGAAGCCCCTTCTGGCGTTGTGGGGGTCTGCGTCTGTCTCCGAGTATTTGTGATGAACCCGGTGGTCTCGAGCCCACTCAAATATATCGTTCTAGGGGTTTGAGTTGAAATAATGTTTACACCAACTGAGTTATTAACCGCAGTGTGTTAACTCTTTTTTTTTTTACATACCTGAAAAGCCATGGAATTACCAAGAGCGAGGAAGATCCTCAGAGGTAATGAAGCTTTGTAGGCCCTGTGGCTCCACAAGCGGTGAGCCCCTGCAGTAATTCCTAAAGCACTTATCAGAAAGCAGACCATAGCTGTGGAGAGACAAAACAAATACACAGAGAGAAAAAAATAAAGTTAAAATATGACAAGGTCTTGTTTTCTGTTCACTTGACGATAGACTTATCAGAAAATAATCCAGAATTGTTTACTTGGACATGCCAGTTTGAGACAAAACAACACACGTTGGTGCCAGAAGTTGGAATACACGCATCATCTTCCCTTAATGTGCTCAAACTTTCACCTAGATAGCAATTGTTTATCTGAAACTACTTCCTGTTCCTCATGCACCGCTGCAATGTACAAGTTAGCCAATAAACCAAATGCATATTTGGAAGCCCACACATACAAATGTTTGAATATAAACATCTGCACTGTTTTTCTCGTTGCACAAAAAGCACCATTTGAATCAATGAAATGCAGTGGGGTTACTTTTGTTTCTTTGTGACACCAAAAGTTACATAACCTAGTGACTGAACTCACCCCTCCATTACCGATAATGGAAGAGGAATTTAATAATTTAATGTGAACATAATGACATGTATTTTTCTTACTAGCCTACATTTATTTGCTTTCACATTATGATGTTACTTGACGAAAGATCTGACACTGTGAATCTAATGTTAGCGTATTTACTTTCTTTCCTGGCACTCGTGCATCTCAGCTATAAACATACACTGCTTTGAAGAAGTATTCATACCCCATGAACTTTTATTTTATGACTGGAAACTTCACCATATTTCACAGGGATTTTATATAATAGGCCAATACAAGGCAGCAACTAATTGTGAAGTTTGACTGGGCCAAACTTCTGACATGAATAAGTTTGATATAAACTATGCTGTTGTAATGTTGGCTTTACATTTAAGGTTGCCAGCCCTGTTAGAGATCAACTTCAACCTCAACCTGTGCTCCATCCATCTTTTATTCAACTCTGTAAAGTATCCGCGTCTCTATCTGCTAAAGAAAAACATCCCCAAAGTTGCCACCATGCTTCACTGGATGTTGCATTTAGGGTGATGAGCAGTGTCATTTTTCCATAAAACACAGTTAAATTATTGTATATTAGTCCTAACTGACCAGAGCACATTCTTCCACATTCCAGATTTTAGGTGTAAAACAATATTTTTCCAGTTTTGTAACAGCATAACGAGCAACTGTGAGCAACTGAGCAACTCGACATGATGCTACTTTAACAGCTGATAATTTGATGTAATACGATCCTCAATAAAAAAAAAAAACTCCCAACAAATTACAATGTGCTAACATGCTCCGACATGTAGCTTTTCTCATCAGCTCCTTCGGTTTGATTTTACTTACACCAAAGCAAAGTAGAGGGAAATGCAGAAGGGGTGAGGAATAAGCCGTATACTGCTCCTAAATGCAAAAGAGTCATGAGGATGATATTTCTCCAGACAAGGGTTTTAGTAGGTTTCGGGCCTTCCTTCTCCTTGTAGGTGTTATCAAACGCATCTTCTCCGGCTGCCTCTGAGCAAACGTCCCCGTTGTGCTGTTGCTGTTTTTCAAACGGCTCCGACCTCGTCATGTTGGCTTCGGATGAGTGATGCTCTAAAGAAAAAAAAAAAGAAATAAGAAATATCTAAATATAATAAATGAAGCAGCGAAACAGAAAGATTAAAAAATACTGCTGGCATGCTAATTACTGTTTTAGCTAACAAGACTGGCAAGTTGCTAGTTGGCGAAGGTGAGGAGAAAAACGAGTGGTCATGTAACGAAAATGCGGGAAATGGCAACGTTGCGTAACACCGGCTTAATATTTAATAATAATAAATTAAAAACATAACTCACAACTCACCAAGTAAAGAAAGGTAGAATTAACGTTTCTGGGGCTAAAGAAGAAGTCAAAATCAGTGTCTGACCTAAAATTACAGTAACCCAGAAAGAGAGTGGTAGTCAGCGCTGTGGCGAGCATCAATGAGAGACTCTGCCTCCGATGAGCTCTACCAATCAGAGCTCTGATGCCGCCTCACATTTGATGCTGATTGGCTGTCTCTTTATCTGCTGTTCACATTTTCTTCATTCGTTGACCAGCGGATGTATGTTAACCTCCCACCGTAGAGCAGCTGCTGTGGTGCTTTTCCGCCGCTGTCTAGACTTGTATTGAATTAAAACGCCCTCATATTTCCACTACCCGGATTATAAAACGGGTCGCGAAGAAAAAAAACCTGCAACTGTTTTTGATAAGTTGGTTTTAAATACTCGTTTTATATAAAAACGACGTAAACGACTGGTTGTATATTAATGTGCTGCGTTGAACTTTAACGGCCGTGAACTATTTTTAATGGCGCGTGAACCAAAATGTAAGCGGATGTGCCGAATCGAATTTCCCCTTCGAGATGTTTCTCCGCCGTGTGCGCGCATTTACTACACTTTACGGCCTCTTCCTAACTCCGTGGTGCATTTAAATGAAGTAGTACACTATATTATATATGAAAATATCCCAAAACAATTTTTTTTATACATATATAAAAAATATTCATTGTAATTACTTTTTAATATGTTTGAAGCGCAACCATTTTCTACAATAAGTCTTTTATAATATGTTTCTTTGTGATTTGCACATATTTCCCATCCTTTCCTAGCAAGATAGCTCAAGCCCAGACATATTTAACTGAGAGAGTCTGTGATGAGCAGTTTGACATATTTTTATTAAATAGTGAGCACTACAATTTCTTGTTTAATATGAATCATTACTTATCAGCACATAAATAACAAAAATAAAATTGTATAGTTAGGCACACTTAGCCACAAAAAACATCCAATAAACTGTGTAGCATAATTAGTGTGGAAGGCTTGGGGGTCTCCCTTAAAACTGCCACCTGGATGTGCTGTTGCCTCTGGACAGTTTGAACTTCAATGTTATTCATTTGTAACATTTAAAATAATGACTAATTTATTAGGGCAAAATACAAGAATAAAACTAAGTGAAAGCGGTCAAATATCTTTTATGGGAGGCATTGACTAACACTGCTCTAGTCATAAGAATAACTCTAGTTAAAATAACATCACTGTTGGACAATGTCTCCTACTCCATGCATGAAGCTGTTGATGAACTGTAGAGTTCTTTCACTGTCAGACTCCTGCATCTCAGTGCACAAAGTAGTGTGATCAGACATCCTTCTTCCCAGAACATGTTACACTGTAACCATCATTGCTCCACAACAAACTGAGTGAATGTCTACATCCCTGCTGCTGTTTGCACAGTTATTTGCACAGTTTTACTAATTTCAAAGAAAATTTCTGCTTGTATTTGCACAGCTTTGTTTGCACAGTTTTATATTGTGAATTGTCTATTGTTTTAATGCACATGTGCATTTCCCATACATTTTCATTATTTTCAATTTTATATATTTTAATGCCTTTATCTTTAATACTTTTATTTTTGTGTTAATATAATTGCCCTGATGTCCTTTTATGTTGCTGCTGTTAATTCTGAAATTCCCCCAGCCTTGGACAAAAAGGTCTATTCTATTCTATTCTATTCTATTCTATTCTATTCTATTCTATTCTATTCTATTCTATTCTATTCTATTCTATTCTATCATTTAACAATACACCATATCAGATCCATTTCAGTACAAATGATCAAATGTGCGTATTGTACTTGAATGCATCATGAGGTTATCATAAAATGACCGTAAGTCAAAGTGTAGATGCGCAAAAGTGTAAAAGTGAAACTTGACTCTATGTAACTCCGGGTCATCACAGTTTTGCGTTTCTTCCTGGCTGACCTACATTTGGAAAGCCGGAGACTTTGTCGCCATCTAGGGGAGATTTGAAGAATAGCACCGATGATGCCACCTTAATCGTTTTTATTTAACAAACGAGACGAGCCTGGGCACCAGCAGTAAAAATGTGCTCCTGTGCTGATAAGTAAATATTGTCATAACTGAATGACTTCAGTCTGCTCACAGTGTACTCGCATTTTAATTAGGTAGCGGATGTATTTATAGCCATTTTCTGCTGCCACCGCTGTTGCTGCAATGGAAGTAAACAGGGACGAGGCGGAGCGCTGCATTGACATTGCTGCCGCAGCTTTAAAGACTCACCAGCATGAAAAGGCGCTGAGGTTCTTGGAGAAGGCACAGAGACTCTTCCCAACAGAGAAAGCTCAAGGTAAGCAAGAGTTATGACGGTGGTGCGCGATGAGGACCCTGTAGTTGCAGCATCATCATCACCCGCAGCAGCAGCACCTCCATCCCAGAGGAGCTGCGCGTACAGCAAACAGCCAGGGCCTGGAACAGCATCACCAGCTGACTCCGCTACTATTAAACTGTCATGTTAAGCATGGCAATACCCAAAGCTGATGTTAATTTCCATTCCTATTTGGGGTTTGTATGTGTCAGTAAATATTAATAGAAAAATAAACCTAGAAATCCGGTCAACAACTGGGCAGGGGAGGGACCGAGATTACCAGCATCCTTAAATAGCAGTTTCCTTTGCATCCACTATTCATACTGTTTTTTTCTTCCCCACACCTTTTGTCACATTCATGTTTTATGTTAATTATATGTGATAATAAGGCAATTCAATTCAAAGTGTAAGGAACATAATATTTAATTTATATATGTATAGCCAGTTACCAAACCGGCAATCAGATTCAAATCTGATCAAATTTTCTACTCAGAAAAATTTTTGGAAAATCTTATTTTTTTATTTTTATTTTTTATTTTTTTTACTGTTGAACTATTTGGGCTTCTGTAGTTCAGGGAGACGTCAGCCCACCCAGGGCCTACCACTTTGTTTCACGATAATGTCTGACAGTTTGGATTTTCTTTTATTTGTAATTTCTATTTAAGAATAGAATGGGGACAAACAAACTGACTATAATTGTAAATTGAAATAAACTTTTAGAGGTGTCAAAAGACTTGGGATTGGTGTGGAAGTTCACCTTCCAGCTGGACAACAATCCTAAACATACGGGATGATTCATGATGGTTCATGTCAAAAACTACACTATAATCTAATTGAGAATCCTAGAAGAAGACTTAAAAATTTATTATCATGGACATTCCCCAGCTAATCTGATCACACTTAAGGTATTTTACAAAGAAGAATCATCCAGAGAACCTGCAAAGCTGGTTCAGACTTTGCCTTACAGATTTGTAGATGTCGCTGAAATAAAAGCTGGCTGAAAAATGTAGACACAGCAAGTAGTGAAAGGTATCTTTAGAAAACGCTTCTAGAAAATGACCGTATTTAATTCCTGAAATTTGATAAACATAATTAGCTAATCTGTAAAATAAAAGTTTTTACAGATTAGCTAATTATGTAATTTTAGGTGCTGTCTTAGTGCGTGAGTTAATAACAATTTGTCACTATCTATTGTCAGCACTGCTGGACCTAATTGCAAGAAATGGCTTCACTCCCAGACATAGCAGCCACTCAGACTTCCGCGATTCTGGGCCTCGACAGCGACAGGCCCCACATGACGACACCAAGCCCGAAGAAAAACCTTCAGACACCCATAGATCTTACACGGCAGAGCAGCTGGAGGCCGTGAAAAGGTACTGAATAAATAAATGGAATAAATGTTGATGCAATTAAATTTTTTTCTTTATCTGCCCTTCACATTCCTAACCATGGGTTTTGCACACAGAATAAAACAATGCAAAGACTTCTACGAAATCCTCGGGGTCCAGAAAGAGTTCTCTGAGGACGAGCTCAAGAGGTCGTACAGAAAACTGGCTCTGAAATTCCACCCTGACAAGAATCACGCTCCGGGCGCGACAGAAGCATTCAAAGGTGACTCAGCTGATTGTCAACATGAATCAACATGAAGGTGGTTCGTGTTGACAATCAGAAAAGACAAACATGAGGCAGACGCCAATTGAACTTGTAGAAAGGATAACAGTGGGTGATTTCTCACAGCTATCGGAAATGCCTACGCTGTTCTGAGTAATGCAAACAAAAGAAGACAGTATGATCAGTGGGGAGAAGAGGGAAGGCATTCATCAAGTAGCAGCCCGGAAAATGGAAATTTTGAGCCAGATATTTCACCTGAAGATCTCTTCAACATGTTCTTTGGAGGAGGTTATCCATCAAGTAAGTGTCACCTCTCTTTGTCTTTCAACAGCCATCTACTTGAGATGAAATTGATAAACCATACCTTATCACTCTAGGTAATGGTCATGTATATACTAATGGGCGGATGCGTAACCAGAGGCGGGAGAGAAGAGAGCGACCAAGAGATGTAGGTTATTACGTTATTTGTATATTCTTCTGATCAATTGTTTTATTTATGTTTATTTACTTTTATTCGATCTGTCTTAGTTCTTTTTTTACCACTCATGAATCTATTGTTCATGCAGTATAGCACCTTAACCAAAAATGACAAAGTTTTGTATTTTATGTGTAGGATACTTACCATGAGTTTTTCTTCCTCTACAATACTATTATCATTATTACTATTTCCATTATTATGTTTTACTACAGTTGTTGTTTTTACAAATAGCCTTTATTTATGTATGACAGTATCAGTTGTTGACTACATTTTTACTTGATTAATTAATTTAATTAACAGTTTTCTTCTATATTGATATGTCTTCACATGGTTTTCTTTATTTTGACTATTTAATTCCATTAGTTGTGCTTTAACACATTTAGTTTCTGCCTTTTCTTTTTTGTATTCTGAACAAGCAATGGCAAATATTAGAGTTGACTAGGAGTTAGAAAAATATGTGTTTAATTTTGACTCTTAGCACACACTGGCTACTAAGTTGTACAGTCAATAGTATGTGCTGGGTCTGTGTTGTGTTTTTGATTTTTGTTTTCTATAATTAGACCGCTCAGAGTAAACGCAGTCTACTGATAATGTGGTGTCGCATAATGGCCAGCAGGGGGTGGCATTTAGTCGCCCGCCATTTTACAAGGTTGAGAAAACGTTTCCCTTCAGAGATGTTTTTCTGTGTCACATCCGCAGGGAGGTCTGGCTGTCTTCGTGCAGGTCATGCCCATTCTCATTCTGGTGATTGTGTCGGCTCTCAGTCAGATAATGGTCAACAGCCCCTCCTACAGTCTCAGCTTCAGGCCGTGAGTGTGACCTCCTGTTCTAAAACGGTGCTGCAAGAGTGTTAAATAACACAGTGAACGGCTGCCCTGCCTGACCGAAAAGGACTTGAATAAGATATCATCTTTAAGTACGATTTACCAACCCGGCTTAATTTAGATGTGAACTCTAGAACTTTTTCACAGTGTCTCACGATACAG